ACTGTAGTACTATCTATAAGGAGACAGTTGTCACTAATTTTGTGTGTGTGAGTGTAGAGCGCACAGCGCAGCAGTTGCAGTTTGGCGTTGGCAGTAGCAGTTGCGGTCACTCATTCTGAAGGCTGAGCAGACGACGGCGCTCTCTCTTTTCTGTGTGTGTGTGTGTTGTGATGCCATAATTGGTTAAACCCTTTGGTGCTAATTTCTTTCACAAAATCAACCCTTTCAATTTCTGTTGCCATCCTCCACTATTCCCCCAATCTTTATTTCACTCACAATTCATCAATTTTAACACTTACCATCATGTTTGACTGGTACATTTATTTATTTAACTCGTTTTGATTATTCGGGTCACTTATCAAAAATATTGTATAATAAAAACAAAAACTAAATACAAAGATTATTTTATGACAGGTAAAATAAATCGTTTTGAAATTAATAGTAAGGTCGGGTTTTGTTCGATTTAACTCAAATTTTGAATAATTTGGATTGGTTTGATCGAATTTGACTAATACCAGGTTGGGAGGAAAAGTGAATTTTTGGCATTGTTTTTTGGTGGAGGTGTGTTTCTATTTTTCTGTAAAAGAGAGAATATACAATGAAGGGTCTGTGTCGACGTGACCATTAATGTATAAGCAAAAGCAAGTGAGTACGTAATCTAACATTTTTCCTTTCGAGATTTTGATTTTGATTTTGATTTTGATTTGATTTGATCACCAGTTGCAGTTTAATGGAATATTACTTTTCCTTTTCCATATTCAAACTCTTATTACGCCAACCCCAAACTCTTACCCTTTCCTTCTCTCCCACTTTCCCTTTAATGGACTTCATTTCATTTCTAAGCCCTCTAACTCTAAACAAAATTCTTAAATAAATAATAATAATAATAAAAGCCATTATGAACCTATTTTAGTGGTAATTGACATGTATTCATCCCCTTAAAGTTGGAAGTTCAAACTCCCGTTCTCCCAATTTGTTGTACTAAAAAAATTATTGATAAAAAAAAAGAAAGATATGAGAAATTAAACAGCACCACTTTAAATACTAATTAAGATTATTCTATTTTGTTCCTATTTGTTTTAGTATAACAAGGGAAGGTATGAGGATTTAAACTCACGAGTTATTGGTTAGAGACATGTGTCATTACTGCTAAGCTAAACTCATGTTAGACTATTTTGCTTCCATTATTATTATCATGTTCAGTAACGAATTTGCTTCATCTCAACTAACTCTTAAAGTCATATCTCGTAAGTCTTTAAAAACTGTTCAATAAATCTATGGAGTTTCACTTAATTTAGACATATTAAATAGTTTTTTTAATTCAATAATCTGAGTTTTGTGTTTAATATTTCATTGACTTTTAAATTTTGTGGCTAATATGTCTTGAATTATAAAAAAAAAGACTAATAAGTTATAAACCTTATATTAAGAACCTATTAGTATCGATACAACATTCAAAGTTCAAAACACATATGAGACACTTTTAAAAGTTTAGATACCAATTAGATAATTTTAAGAACYCATTAGATATATTTTTTTTTTAAATTCTCTCTTAGACACTAACTCTTAGACTAAAGTTGTAATTTAACATTATTATTATTATTATTATTATTAAAATCCCATGTGGGCTGACAAGCAACGCTAAGCCGGGTGATTACAAGAGTGGGCCTTACGACTGTATTCATTAAGCTCGGCCCAAATTTTGATATTTGAATTGGGCCAATATATTGAGTAAATGGGCCTGCCTTATTGGACAGTAGTGATTAGAGCGAGTCGGCCCAAGGACCAGAACCCACACCGTTCCACGTTTTAGTGAAAACACATTTTCTAATCTGAATTTTGGAATAATGGTGAGGTTGAGATGATTTTGGAATAATGAAAAAAATAAATCCTCTTTTCATCCATTTACATGTAAAAATAAAAAATAGAAAATTATCCGTCCTTGATAATGTTTTGAATTTCTAATTTAAAGTATGCAACCAAAACACAAAGAACATTTTGAAAAATATTTTTAATATGCTAAAATTACTTATCACCCCTTCAAACTGTAGGCAAAACCACCCCTCTCATGTCATGTTCCTTAAAAATAAAAATAAATAAATAAATAAACTAAACTCACAAAGTGCTTTTTGAAATTCCGAGTGCTTTTAATTTTATAATCGTCCAAAACCCACAAAGGAATTAATGAAATACTTAGTTTCATTATTATTTTGTTTTCCAACATTAAAGTTGTCTGAGCTTTGGAACAGTGCCACAGCAGGCAGTGAAGGGTAAAAACTTTGTTCAATATGAAGGCAGATTCTATACAGGATGATGATAACTGAACTGGGTTAACGCCATTTTTGAGAGGGAAATGACAGAAGAAGAAGAAAAATATGTACATTACATGGATATGTTAGAAAAGAAGAAGCCTTTTGCATTTTTTTGATAGAGATATGGAGGAAGCCATTGTCAGCTGATGCTGAAGTATCTTGGATCTTCTGGAAAATGGTATTCCACCTTCAACTGCCATTCCACACCCAAAAAACACAACAAAAAAAGACAAAAACTTGTTAAATGCCATATTGAACTCACCAAAATCAGTAAAAAAGTTCATAACAGCAGCTCTAGCAAGAGATTAGCACATACTAATGAGTGATTCTTTGCCCATCTTAGAAGAAATGGGAAGAAAGGATGGTTTCTGATGTTAAAAATTATATTGAGAGACTGCCATGGATTAACCATTACCTTGCCCTCATCGGCATCTGAATGGCGCTGMGGGAAGACGACCCTTAAGTCGTTGTACAGATAGAATTTCCTTTCGCCTTCTATATCTAAGTTATGCTTGTTTTGCATGGAGAGGGAATCGGGTTTGCATTTCCGAGACGATCGAGAAGATTTTTTGGGAAATGGACAGAGGAATCGGAGGTGAAGGGCATAGCGGAGAGCACCTGCAGAATTCTCATTGACCTTTGAACAAACATGCAACACCTTCCTGTCAGTTCCACAGCAAGTATCAACCCAGCAACCATCCTTCTGATCAGCCCCCCTCTGGCATTGATTCTCAAGGCCCAGGAGCGCACCAGCATCTGTCTTTCGGTTATTGAAAACTCGCTCCGATCCATCCCCATCATCAATAAAGTCGACCACGTTAGAGCTTTCTTTCCCCATTTGCACATCCTCCCCTTTGCACAGAGCCTTAACTCCATTGATATCTGTTCCGTTATTGCTAACCACTTCAGCATCGCCTCTTTGGGAGGCTAAAGTCACATTGTCGGCCATTTTATTGTCGTGATCGAACTTCCCTTCTCTCGACAGTGAAGAAGTTGGTGTATTGGACGAACCTAAAGTAGCCTTCTGGCGCAAGAAGGTCTAATTTTCGTACGCAAAAACAAGAACAAAATTAGAGCTAATAAGAGCCAGCTAAAAATATGAACCATGAAAATCTAAAAGTTGTCCAACATTAAACATCCTGGTAATATGATGAACAGAATCAAAAGTAGCATCAAGATATAAGATTCACCACCTTAGTACCGGCTGGCATGTCACTCAAATCATACTTGCAGAGAAAAGTGTGCAGGGGTGTCTTCTCGGGATTGCTGAGAACCTGGAAAAAGAAAATACATCAAAAAATAAATACGAGATCGCATAGGCTCTTCTAATTGCTTGGAAGTTACCCATACCTATAGAATCCATAATGTGCCGAACCAGGTCGACCAGCACATATGCATTACATTTTCACATATTACATCAATCAAGCACTCAGACAAGCAAATGTAGAGAGAAATTATCACTTGATAATTCTACAGCTCCTGAAAACTTCAATGGGAAAATGAGAAAAATCTAAAAATAATACATCGAGTTTCTCATAATCGCTCCAGATGGGATGGGAAGATGACCCCTGATAATATAACTTTTAAAGATTCTACCAATGAAATATTGAATCAGGTTAGTACCTAAACAGACAAAGTACTTCGACACCAACTTTCGAATATTTCATCCTTTCTTACAGCAATAGGTAAATTCTGATGCAACCAGAAAAAAGATTCACACAAAACAGCACTTGCTACACAACACAAGATATCTTGCACCGATGTATAATCCATATGTGGCCTTCACAATTTAACATAAAGAACCTCCACATTATAACCTTTACAATTACAGGCTATCAGGAAAGGGCAAAACTCTTTGCAAAAGTGTTTTTTTTCCCATTTTGTGAGGTATATGGATTGATAGAAACAACAGAGTTTTTAGAGGGTTAGAGAAATCTTGGAAGACTGCATGGGCTTTTATAAGATTTAAATCTTCTG